ATGGAAGTAGGGACTAAATTGGGAGGAGAGGTAGGGATATAGGAAAACTGTTCAGGATTTAATAATTCTATTCGATTTCTAATGCCAGCAGTCCGTTAGAATAATGAATGTGCCCACCTAGAGTTCTGCAAATCACCTGCACCAAAGAGACATTGTTTTCCATGTCTCAAGAAAGGGAAAAATTTCATTATAACTCAAACCGAACTTCCCATTACTTCCCCAAAAGTATCACAGAGGCCTCTCCATTAAGTGTGCAAGTTGAGTCTCAAGATAGCGATAAAACTGACCTAAGTAAAGTGAATATTGTGTGTACAAAGACAACTGGTATACTATACATTTTGGCGATAATGCAGTATCATCTCAAATTTATCATACACAATTCTCGATGCGTTCTCTCAAGGTTGGAAGTAATTGGAAGATCCTGTAAATTAGACACTCAGAGGTAACCAAAGAAGCAATAAAGCTGCTGTGTAAAGCAGATCAAAGATTCTGCTCGCTCTAATTTGGCAGTACGTGGGCTGTGATACCCACAGATCTGTAGGCATTTCCCAGAGACACACAAGTCTTTCACACGGGAAAACACACAGGGAAACATACCTTATAAAGGACATTCAGAAGCCAGGCCCGCCTGTGTCTGAGTCCTGGCTCTGACACCTTATAACTTTGTGCATGTCTCCTCCAATTTACAGTTTTCTCATATAAAAAAGTGGGCACACGACTGCTTACTAACACCTGCCTAGGAAATGCGTGTTACGAGAATTAAATCGGACCATGTTTGTAAAGCACATAACTAACGGCTAGCTCTTAGTATGAGCTTATTAAATGCAATTCATTTTTTACTATGCTTGCGTTTGTTTGAGAGGGGAACATGTGCCATCATAAATTGGCTACTTCAGTCCTTTATTATCAATAGGACTGCTGCATCAAGTACTTTTGATCATTATAGATTATGATGGGGCTCAGTCTTTTACATAGTGCTATCATATTCTCCGCATTTTTTTTTTAGTTAGGTAATATTGTCACTTACAAAACTGGGAATATATTTTCCTGTTGAACAAAACCATGAGTGGCCAGAATCACAGGGGAGCAAGTACACTTCAACACTTCGTACATCAGGAAGGAAAAGTGAAAAGACGCATGACAGCTGAATGTGAAGCTGGCCATCCTGGGCACACTGGAAGAACTTGAACTTGAATTCCATGTGGTAAGCAGTGTTTTCTACAAATGTCTTATTGCACTTGAAGCTGGGCCAGTCTAACAAATCCCAATTGTGGCTGAAGAGCAAAGAGCCAGAGGGGGTGTTATAGGACTTCAATTACTTGGACCTAATGGTCCAAATAGGGAAAAAGAAAACTGAATATAGTAAATTCAGTGACAGTTTTAACGTGCAGGAAAATGCACAAGCTAACAAAGTAACTGTGCAGACTAATGAAGAAACTGGCTATAACAGTCTTTGGATAGATGTGCAATAATACTGAAACCCTATTTTTTTTTATTTTTTTTATTTTGGAAGAGTGAGCGAGCACACACGAGCAGGAAAGGAGCAGAGAAAGGGAGAGACAGAATTCTAAGCGGGCTCTGCTCTGTCAGCACAGAGCCTGACATGGGGCTCAGTCTCACGACCACCGTGAAGTCATGACCTGAGCTGAAATCAAGTTGGATGCTTAGCCGACTGAGCCACCCACGTGCCCCAAATCCATGTTTAAGGCAACTGAAATTCTGTCTGCTCACTTCTCAAAATCCACTGAAGTAGTAAGTTAGTGTCGTTCATAAAAAGTTTTTTGAAGTGCTTTCAGCCTGGTTGAAAAATAAGCACATATGTCAACAATTATGAGTTTATGATCAAAATGTGTGACAAAATTTGGGGGCAAAATATTTAGTCAGACATTAGAATACTAAAGGATCTTGCCATATATTGATGAAATGTCTCTACTGGCAAAATAACTGCATCCCGTTGATAACTTTCTCATGAACCTTGACTACGACCATAATCTCTCTCACTCAAGTTGTATTCAGTGGAAGGAAAGGAAACTTCAGGCTCTGTGGGATCATGTCTTTCATTCAGAGAATTCCCAGGCAAATAAGTCAGAAAGGGTGAGAACAAAGTGGGGATGGGAGAAGAGTCGGGAAAGATTTCACCCATGAAATTAAAAGGACACAGAGGGGCGCCTGGGTGGCGCAGTCGGTTAAGCGTCCGACTTCAGCCAGGTCACGATCTCGCGGTCCGTGAGTTCGAGCCCCGCGTCGGGCTCTGGGCTGATGGCTCGGAGCCTGGAGCCTGTTTCCGATTCTGTGTCTCCCTCTCTCTCTGCCCCTCCCCCGTTCATGCTCTGTCTCTCTCTGTCCCAAAAATAAATAAACGTTGAAAAAAATAAAAGGACACAGAGGTGAAGTCAACACAACCAACTTCGGACAACATGACTTTCCAATTTTAAGAAAGGACTACATATGAACGTTAAAAAAAATGTATTTTCAAGGTGCAATTCCTTTGTAGATTAATCGAAAAATCAGTGGCTAAGAAATGCCATAATCGCCATTGTTATATGAACTCCTGAAATCCTTGAACTTCATTGTACCTCACTCTCCCCCTCTGCAAAATGCAGAGGTTTGGGTTGGAATGGATTTCTGTGATGCCTTCCTGTAGGAGCATTCTGGAACCTTCAGGGCATCTCCTTCTCTCATCTTATAAGTAGCTTTAATTTAAAACCTCACTGGACCACAACATCCCTAAACTGACCTAGATTCTCAAGGAGTTCTTCCCTATTTCCACCCTTTTACCTTTCTTTTTTTCTTGCAATATTTATTCAGAAGCCTAAAAAGGTTGAACTATAAATCCTGGTATCGAGTGTCTAGGAATATGACTCATCTTACTTCTTGAGGTGGAAAGAATGTGTTACTTGTGCACTAGAAGCCATGGTCCGTGCGAGGCTGGCTGTCCCATACACACCACCCTCACCCCAAATAGTCACATTGACTTCGGTACATGCTGTGTAAAAACCTAGAGTCCACGACTGAGGTGACAGAACCGAAAGAACATGCAAAGTCCCGATTATCTGCTTCTAAAGACTCAGGAAATAAGGCACAAAGAGACTCAGTGCTGAACACAAATACCAGTTTTTGGACATGCTGATTACTGGTCCCTACCAAGACAAGAAAGCCAATGGTTTCAAAATGAATTGCAGTACAATAGGCTCTGTTTTGACTTTTGTTTTTATAGACTTGGAGAAACTTTAGAAAAAAAAACCACAGTAAAATATAAGACATAAACACCTTATCCTGAGAAGAGGTATTCCTAATCTGGGATCTATTAAAGGAAAATGTTTAAATTTAACAAAAAAGTTAACTAAATTTTGAAGAAATCAACAAAAACCTATAAACTTACCCTAAGATATATGTGTACACATACAAATACTCATATATATTATATGCAAAAATGAAATCTAATAATACTCAATTTCACTTACCAGTGACAGCCAGGTAATGATTCTTAACTAATTAGAACCAAGCAACCTAAATTGCAAGGAATCCCTAAGTCCAAGGTAAAAGTATGTTCTAACAATGAAGCAGGCCTCATTAGACAGCCTTAAAAAAAGATAATTGACTGCTGGGTATGATTAAATTCTGGGAAATCCAAGTTTACCTTATTCTTTTGAAGTCCTATGTAATCTAAATGGTGTGTGATAGACTAGCCAAGTTAAGTTCAAGAAGAGTCATCCACATACCATTTACCTTTGCAATGGTTCCATCTTTTTCAAAACTGAGGCTAGTCCTTTCAATTCTCATCAGGCTTTAACTGGGAATTGCCATGTCTAATGATTTTCTGAGACTTTCTGCCATCTGTGTGAAGTTATTCGGTTAGCTGAAGTTATCGAAAACGTAGTTGACATTTGTGTGAGATCGTTGACAGTGTGTTAGTAACTAGGTCTTAGCTTGGCTCATGGGTTGGGAACTTGCTTCACCAATAACACTTAAAAGTGACTGAATGTCCACTATGTGGTAGGCACATGACTGTCTCGTTTAAGGTTGACAATAACCTTATGAGTCTAGTTCTACTATTTTCCCCTCATAGATTAAGAAGCCAGCTTTAGAAGAATTAATGTTCCTCTGGTGAAAAACCAGTGTATGTTGGGAGCAGTAATAAACACTAGGTTTACCTAACTCCATAAATCTTGTTTTTAAAGATTACCCAATGACGACTCACATCGCCAAGTTCTGCTTTTATAAAAATATATTATAAATGGGTTCACAAATTATATCAGACCCATTTACCTTAGAAAACACACAGCACGGTCTCAAATGCAATCGTAAATGCTCATTGTCCTTGCTGTGGAAAGTTACACTGTGAAAGAGAGTGTAGCTAAGGAAAAAAACCATTACCCAATGCCCATGTTGGCTAGCTCCCAATTTTTAAAAGCGTACTGCATAATCTCTTACAAAACTGTAATTCTAATACAAGTTGTAAATCTTATTTAACCATGTAATGAAATAATCCAGGAGAGTACAATTAAATATGTTAATTCTTGGGAAAACTGTAACTTTTGCACTGCTGGAATTACAATCTCTTTAACTTCGTGAATAATTATAAAATATTCCTTACATCTTTTCTGAAAAGAGGGGGCGTATAAAGCCATAATTTCTGAAGTAATCATCTTATCAAAACAACATAGAGAAGATTCTGGTGTAATAGACGACTCTGTAGGGTACTGTAAAACAACATGGTAAATTTGAAAAAAAAAAAATCAATTTTAAACAGTCCTGTATCTTCACTGCGATTTTAAAAAAGAGGTTGGTATTTTTTTTTCTGAGCTGTGTTTTAAATATACCATTGGAAAGCGTGGCCAAAGGAACATGGGTTGCTCACTGAACAAAACACAATAGAGGGGAACATTTGTGTATGTTCTCAAAAAGGTACCCAAGGCCAAAGGAAAAGAGAAGGGTCACGGTGCATGCAGGGTTGGTGTGACTGCTCTCGCAGAGAAAGCACTGGAAACTGTACCCACCCAGTAACGTCAAGACACAGGCGAGGATGGCAATCAGGGCTCCGGTGCTGAGGCCGGCAGGTAGGACGTAGGCCTCCGCGTTGCAGGTCTGGGCTACCCCGTCGGCATCACAGTCACAGACGCGGATGGTGAGGGTGTTCGTGCTGCTGAGGGAAGGCGAACCACTGTCCACGATGAAGATGGGCAGGTAGTACACAGACTGCTCCTGTCTCCGGAAGCCGTTTCTCCTGGTGAGAATGGAAGCCGTGTTGTCTAGGATAAAGAAAGCAAACGTGTAACCCCAGATTTCTGGCAGCCTCTAGTCCTGCCAAACTGTATCCATTTAAGGGGGAGGGTGGGAGGAAGGGCGAAATAGGTGAGGGGGTTTAAGCGGTACAAACTTCTGGAAGAAACACACACACACACACACACACACACACACACACACGATGTATGTGAGTTAAGTCCTGTTTGGTGTCTTTAGACGGAGCACTATATATTACCCAATACTGGTTCACTGCAGTACAGTTTAATACATTTACCTCATGCTATGGAGTTATGACCAAAGGAAACAGTGACAAAGTAAAACAGAATATGGAAATTTTTATTCATCACTTACTAACTGCAGCTTTGTGAAAATGTCATGTAGTCTACCCTCTTAACTTCTCTTATGTTTCGAACCACACACTTACAAAGAGGATGATGCAAATGAACAGGGTATCTTTGCAGAATCATGAGATGGCCCAAAAATCTCCACCTGTCTCAAACCCAATATAGAAACACTTAAAATAAGTCAATATAGCTATCAGAGAGAAATGACACTGTAGTTTTTAAAAATCCGTATTGGTATATATCGTGACCCAGGCCCCATGTGTATAAACATTGTGTCAGTGATAAAATGGGTCATTTGTGTTTAATTTATATTCAATATTCTATTTCATCTAAACGTTTAAAGTAATTATGAAACTTTTAACAGTGATCAGTAAGTCTGTATCACATAAATGTGATTTCTAGATCAGAAATATTTTTTCTTATCTGCTAGCGGTTTACCCAACTCACTTGTCTTCATTAACTAATTAGAGAATGTATGTGGTCCTTTATACTTACAGCAATTAACACATAAAGGAAAATAGGATGCTAGTTTCATCCAGTGTACTTTAATATTGTATCTCCTTTCCAAGCTATCAAAAAGACATGTATCTAATGTTACCATAAAAGAATTAACAATGTTCTAATGAAAGAGCAAGCTGAAATCTATTCTATCCAAATAGCACCAAACAGCAAGCTCACAGGAGACCAAAGAAATCACATAACCTGCAGTTACAAATATGGCAAGAGCAACTGTTTGGTTTTATATTCCATCCGGTAAGTTTTTATGTAAACGAATCTTCTGTTTTAAAACGTGAATTTGAGGTGTTCATTAAAAATCCACACATGCGGCTGAAGGATATTATTTTCAGTATGTTTCTCTATACACTTAATAGTAACGCAACGTCTATTTCTTGGCCTCTCAACCAATCAGATATATGTATTCATTATGTGATACACAAAGTTGTTTCAGAGTTGCTGAACGTTAATCTAACATGCCTGGCATCAGAGAGCGCACTTGTGCACGCGCACACACACGACGAATCAAGGAACACGTGCAAAAATGCCCAATACATGAGAAGGGAGTCCTGTGCTCAGGAAAGATATCGTAAGAATGGTGATGTTCTCTATGCAGTTCCTATGATGGAAGCCAATATAAGAACTAATCTCCTAATTCTTAGAAGGTTCATACTGGACGCTCTGGACTTGACTTAGGGAAGTCTTTCAAGTGTGCGTTTACTGTCCAAAAATCATGGCACTGCATGATGATGACACATGGGGGAAATAGTCTCTTCTTGGAAAGGTCATAAACTCCCCTCTCTGCATTTGTGCTGGGTGAATCCAAGTGCTGAGAACCGTCCCTTGCAAATATGATTAATTCAGAGAGTTTGGGATTACCCACATAGAGAATGTTCTTCCTTTTATGTTACAGAAGGGACAAGATAGTGTTCTCATTTAAGCAGAGGATGGAATCAGGAAAAATATTTTAAGATTGAAGTTTTGAGGTCAAACTTGGATTTTCTGTGCTAAACAGGATGGAGGCTTTAGGCAAAAAGCACTTATAATGCCCACCTTCTAAGTCATTTTAGATGAGCCACTGTTTGACTAGCAAATTGTTTCTACGTTTTGTTTTTTTGTTTTTTTGTTCCTGAAGCCTGATTCACATATTCAAGCTGAAAGAAACACATCTTCTGTATTGGCGGGGGAATACTCTTCTCGATATATCAGTTGCAAACACCCTTCTGTTAAAATAAATACCTTGAATGAAATCACCTGTGAATAAATTCAAAATTAGACAACAGAATGGTCTTCTGCTTCCCTTAAAAGTTCTTATAATTGTCTATATGTTGTGTATATGTCTATAATTTTATATATATATAATTGTCTATATAAGTTGTTTATATATAATTATATATGCCTGTAAGTCTGTATATACTTATAAAATATAAATATTGTATATATATTTATTTATTTAAGCAAAATCAGAATATACTTACAGGCCTCTGTAAATATGTTTCTATAATGACACTGAGGGAACTGGTAAAAGTGTTCACCTCTGACGCAAAGAAATGAGATTGAGGATGACAGGAAATTCTTTTTTATATTTCCTTGCATGAGGAGTATATCTTTTAATTATCTGCATGGATTAATTTTACGTAAAAATAAAGGAATAACTGATGTTGCTATTGAAGGTATTAGGTCAAAATTGATTTATGTTGAAATCAGATTGGAAATACCAATTATTTTCCTAACGTCTCAGTTATGCCTACGTAGGATAGCCTTATTGATACATTTAGCTGACCCCTCAAATGTCTAGGAGTAAAGAGAAAGGTGGACCTGCCTTTTCCCTTATTTGGATTTTGGCCTGAAGTGATTTAAGTAGCAGCTGCTTCTTAATGACAGCAAATCCACAGATAAAAATTACTTAAAAAAAAAATTTAAGGGCAACGAGCCCCTTAAGAGTTTATTTGAGAGAGCGAGAAAGAGACACAGCACAAGCGGGGAAAGGGCAGAGAGAGAGAGAATCCCAAGCAGGCCCTGTGCTATTGGGGCTCAAACTCACAAAATTGTGAGATCGTGATCTGAGTCGAATTCAAGAGTTGGATGCTTAACTGGCTGAGCCACCCAGGCACTCCACTCACTGCCCTTTAATTAATGTCCTTGTATGTGTCGGTATATGTGTATGTATATGTATTCCACAATCAGGATTCCTGAGCAAGAAAAAGTAGTTGTTTAGAGAGTTTGTACCTGCTGCCTCCACTGGTGACCATAATAATCCCTTACCTTTGTTATCTTTCAATGAAAAGTTGTGGTTATTTGTTGCATCAGTCGTTAAGCTGAAATAAAACTGGTGTCCATTGGATGGCTCATCTTTATCAACGGCACTGATCTTCTGGATAACCTAGGGATGGAGAAGTAAAACATGAAAATATGTTGTTGTGCTCGGCTTTGTTTCCTGTGACAGAGAAGAGCAATTTTATACCTTATAATAAACACCATCCTTCTGGAAGGAAGGAGCAGATAAACTAATATGAACTCAATCTAAAAAGGGCTCTGAAAAACAAGCCGTGTCCTTTTCAAACGCTGCGTTTGAATTTACTTTTGTGAACCTGAGACATAAGCTGCACCAACTGATGACACCATCCCCGTAAACATTACAAAACACTGAACAAAATGGATGAGTAGAACAAACCAGACCGAGATTAAACTACACTTAATTCTTTGAAGTTCAAGGTACTTACGCCCTGCTGTGTAAAGTGGGGAATAGCTCAATCAAGCTTAATATGCTAGACTTCGTAAAGGAGTCAAAGCCCTCCACCATTTACCATGGCTTTTACAATGTTTATCTTTCTTCCTGAGAAATTTCATCATCCCAATTAAACCAGAATTTTAGAGTTCCTTCAATGTTAGTTTATGCTACACATCAAAATGTTAGTTTTGCTGAGACATGCTGACCATATTTTATCTTAAAGCTGACAGAATTTCAAGGGCAACTGCTGCTGCATATTTTAAAAGAAATCACAAGCTAGGAGGCTGGTGTTCTGAAAGCTCTCACCTGCCCTGGCTGGGCATTTTCACACACGGTGGTTTCATAGTCCATAGCAAATTCAGGGGCATTGTCATTGATGTCGAGTATAGTAATGGCCACATAGCCTCTTCCAACTTGAGACGGATTCTCTAATAAAGAGGAAAATGTCTTATCATTTACTCAGAGTAAAGCTGTTATTCCATTGCCATTTAACTCAAGAAACTCCTATTAAAAATAATTAGAATCAATAAAAAGGGTTTGCCTCTCTAAAGCATGACCCTAGTAAGAAAATGACCAAACTCTGAAAGAAATCTAGAAACTTAACACTGTAGACTTCAAAGAGAGCAACAGGAAATTCGATCCAAACATCATATATACGTACAGTATATGCATTTTTTTTAGTCCTTGATAAGAAAATCATTGAAAGAATGAGCAATAAATCATGAACTTCAATGTTCTTTGAAGCTAGACCTCAGGTATGTAGGACTACATGCATATAATGTACACCTATGTATGTATATAATATGCATAACATAGAAGTGTGCATTATTATGTCGATGTCTTTCTTATCAGGGACTCAAATGAGTTCAACATCAATATGCAAATCTGAGTGTCTTGGCTAGAGATCAACCTACTACTTTCTGGAAGACACTGGCCCAACTCTGTATCAGCATAAATGTAGCTTATGAAATATGACTACAAAGCAACAAGAAATCCTCTGAAGGTAACTCAGGCCCATTATTTTATAGTCCTCTCTTTTCATTAACTTTCTGAGCATTAGAAAATAAAGTTAATGAATATAAATTTATTTCACAGCTGGAAATTAAGGATTTTCAAAGTTTTGCTTAACTTGAATAAGCACGTAATATGACTCAAGTAGAAATGATAACCCCGTGACAACCCACTCTCCATTCTCAGTGTCCCCCATCCTAACTGAATACTAAACCTTGCAACTTACGGCTCTCCATTGCAAGAACTGTGATATTATGAACAGCATTTGTCTCTCGATCCAAAGATTTGGCGGTTGTAATAACTCCACTGTTGGCATCGATATTGAAATACCTCTCCAAGTCTGTGTTTCTGTCAATTGAATACCTAATGCAACATTAAAAAAGAAGAAAAACACTTCAATATTTGTGTTTGATTACAATTTGCTAAATTTATTTCATTAATTACATGGCCACTCATCAAATCCTGCTGACACCACAATCTGTCATATTAGTACAAATACATGCTTAGCTTAAAACTTCACCAAAGTTATACTTGGTTCATCAGTTCTTGTCAGTAATCTTTTTGATTTTCTGTCAGTAAAAAATAAACACCCTAGTGTAGTTCTCTTCACAGCAGATTTGATATTAAGCTTCAAATTTATTTTATTACCAAATCACTTACAATAGACTTAGTAGCCCCTGCCGTGGTTATAGGTCCCTCTAAAATGAAATATACACAGACATCCTGACCATTCACATACACCTTTTGTCTTGACAACTCCAGCCAGATCTCAACCCCCCAAACTTAAAAAAAAATCCCTCAGGATCTTGACCAGGATTCCATAGAGAAGTTTCAAGGTAGAACCCCTAAAATTACATGAATATTTTGGTGTCTAGGAGCATTTTCTCAAAATATCTGCTATCCAAATATGAGTGAAAAATGTTCTACCTGCGTTCTTAATCCATTATGCTGTTATTTGTTCTGTATACAAAATTCACCCACCTCCCATTAATGACTGTCTTTAAATGCCACCCCCCAGTCGTTCTAGTTGAGTAAAGGGATCTCATTTAAAAACAGACAGACAAAACCAACAGATAAACGCATACCCAATTTAAGAAAGTATTCTATGTTTCCATAGTTCTCCAACACTATTATTAAACAGAATCATCTACTTCCAGTCTGATGTATCACAAAATGCTAGACACATAGCAAGGAAAGAGGAGGCATCAGAAAATATTAGAAAATTAACCACAAACCAACAAATATTGTCTTTGTCCAGCAATAGTAGGTGTTTGGGTACTGAGAATGTTAGGAACTTATTTTCTGATGATTTCTATTTTCTTGATGGCATATGAAACAAGATTATCAGCTGAGAGAGCAAAGGGGTGAAGGTACTTTGAGAAGAGTAGTCCTTTTTTTTTAGAAGAGACAGAAATATAAATAAATATAAATACACACACAGAGACCAGGGAATGTATAACAGAAGAGCTAAGCATTGTGGATTGATACTTTGAGATTTATGTTCATCAATTTATTATGAAACCAGTCATTCTATGTGTCTGTCTTGCTATGTTGTCATAAAGGCACATAAAGAGCATAGGGTTATTTTAACTGGTCACGGACAATGGATGGGGTGGGGGGAGTATGGACAACAGGGGCATGTACATAAGAGTGATAATAAGGAAGTCCCATGATCTATAAGTTGGTAAGGAAGAACTAAGGAAATAAGAGAAGACAGACTGACAAGATTCTGATTGCACCAATAGATTGTAAATCTCTTTCAGGATGTGAAATTTTTTTTTTTTAATTTTTTTTTCAACGTTTATTTATTTTTGGGACAGAGAGAGACAGAGCATGAACGGGGGAGGGGCAGAGAGAGAGGGAGACACAGAATCGGAAACAGGCTCCAGGCTCTGAGCCATCAGCCCAGAGCCCGACGCGGGGCTCGAACTCACGGACTGCGAGATCGTGACCTGGCTGAAGTGGGACGCTTAACCGACTTCACCACCCAGGCGCCCCCAGGATGTGGAATTTCTAAAGTGGAAAGCAGTGGACAAAGATTAAGATCCTTGAGGCAGATTTTCCACAGTAGCATATATACGAGAGCCGACAAGTCACAAGTATGTTCGTGAGAATCTAGGACTAAATCAAGGCAGAAAAACAGATCACTGGAGGTAAGAAGACCAAGAAACTGAAATAGGCACGAGGCATGAGTGGGCATTTTTCAAAAGCAGATATCCAGATTGCTAACAGACCCGTGAAAAGATGCTCAACATCACTCGTCATCAGGGAAACACAAATCAAAACCACCATGAGATACCACCTCACACCTGTCAGAATAGCTAAAATTAACAGCTCAGGAAACAACAGGCAAGATGTGGAGAAAGGGGAACCCACTTACACTATTGACGGAAATGCAAACTGATGCAGCCACACTGGAAAACAGTAAGGAGGTTCCTCAAAAAGTTAAAAAGCACAACTACACTACAGTCCAGCAATTGCACTACTAGGTATTTACCCAAGGGATACAAAATCACTGATTCAAAGGGGCACATGAACCCCGACGTTTCCAGCAACATTGTCAACAATAGCCAAATTATGGGAAGAGTCCAAAGATCCATTGATTGATGAATAGATAAAGAAGATATTGTGTGCCTGTGTGTGTTTGTGCTTCACCTTCCTCTTCATGACTGCCCTTTACTTAAAATCTGAAAACTCTCCTGCAGGTCCTCTTACGTTCTTTATATAAAACTCTTTTCCTTTGCAAATTTATACAGTCCCATGGCTTAAATAACTTGTGTATTTTTGATTACTCCAAAATTCACATAAAATCCTCCTGGCCCACTAGACTTATATATTGAATTGCCTGCTTAATGTCACCACAGGGATAGACAACATGAACAGAGATGTAACATGTCCCAACTGATATTGTAACTGCTACAGTCTCCCAAGCCCCTACTTTCCCTATTCTTTCTCCTCTGAGCAAATGACACCACCAGTCACTTGAATGTTCAATCAAAAAATCTAGAACTGGTCAGTGACTTGTTTTTCTCACTTACTCTTGCATCCAGTTTCTCAGCAACTTCCAAGTACAAGCAGTTCCAATGGCCATACACTGTAGCCTAGATTCTGCATTATTTTACTCTTTATCAACGTATTAGGAGAAAACTAACAAATTGCTCTCCGAGGCTAAGGCAGAGGGAGTCAGAGCAGATGTGGGGAAAGAATGAGCTGTTGGCTTGAGATTGAAGGTCTTGGCAAGGACACAGAGGACACGGGTTGTCCAGAACACTCCGGGTGGTGGTCATACTTCTTCATCACAAGGACTTGGGATCACTGAGGATTAAAGGGGTTCCTTATTTTCAGGGGCGCCTGGGTGGCTCAGTAGGTTGAGCATCCAACTTCGGCTCAGGTGACGATCTCACAGTTTGTGGGTTCGAGCCCCGCATCAGGCTCTGTGCTGACAGCGTGAAGCCTGGAGCTGCTTCGGATTCTGTGCCTCCTTCTCTCTCTGCCCCTCCCCTGCTCATGCTCTGTCTCTGTCTCTCAAAAATAAATAAATGTTAATTTTTTAAAGGGGTTCCTTATTTTCAACCAGTCCTTCCTGGCATACGAAAAGCTAGATTTTATATAGGAGACATTCACTACGATATAAAGTTACCTAAGAAAAGCAGCCCCTCAATCAAGAGAAGTAATGATTACATGGGCATTTTTTAAGTGAGAGGTGCCAGATGTCTCTCGGGAGGATTGGCTGAGCCTAAAGAAAAGGAAGAGCCTAAAGAAGTTCAGAGGAGCACCTTGTACAGGTCTGGACCCACGGGCCAAGGCCCTGAGATGTTCGATGGCCCAAGTCAATTAGAGGCTGAACAGAAAGGAAGGGGATAGGTTGTTTCTCTAATCACAAACTGAAGTGAATGTCAGTGCATCTCCTCATGCTGTTAGTGGTGTTTGGACTCACGATGATCCCTCTACTCTCTGCAAGTGACAGCCTAAGAAAACTTGGCCTCTTTCAATGCATGTTGGAGGAACCAATGAAAGAGATCACTTCTATGATTTGCCGCAGTTGAAGCTTGTGCTCTATCCATTTATTAGGCAGGCAGCTTGAAATCTCAATGTCCAGCCTCAGTCCTTTTCTTGAGAGCTGTGAACTGCTCCAGACACCTGCAACGTCTTGAACTCAAATTCAGTAGATTTAAAGCAGATCCAGCGGCCTTTCCCCAAAACTATCAGTTCTTCGTAACTTTCCCGTTTTCGGAATGAGCCGAGTATTTAAAGCAAAGTTGACGTTTTTCTCTGAATCCTCAACTGTGAAGGGTCATGTGTAAGAAAGACTTCTACTTACATGTCTAATATTCATTTACCCTTCATTCTTATTAATAGAACCTTGCTTTTGTTAGAGGCAGCCATGTGTTCAGCTGAACAACTGGGATTACTAGTCTTCCATGCTGATGCAGTGTCAATCTCCTTATATTAACATTTTAGCAAATGAGATGAAGAAAGTTGAGTCGAGCATGACTGAAAAACCCCTATAGACGATAGGAAAGAGCTGATAATTCAGCTTGCATTTGAGGTCCGCCCCTTCCCCTCCATCTCACCTGGGACACGCACACAATGGAAGAGGTCCAAAACCATCTTGTAAATAGGAGGTGATGAGTGCTTGGCATGAGAAGCCAAGGCCCTTGATGACATTATACTGCCAAATTGTCAGTCCTTGGGTGCACAGCTCCAGACTTCTCATTAGTAAGTCATTAGTGTTAAGCTTTGTTGCGACTAGCCAAGCACAATTTTGAACAAGGGCAAGCAGGTACTATTATGGTGGTATTTCAGAATTAGATACTAACATCTCACAGTTGGTTGTTGATGGAGACAAGATTCAGAACCGTGTCATCTGAGCCACCTGTCCATTACGTACCACATTACCCATAAACGAGCTTTTAGTCCCTGTCACTTACAACTCTACAATTCAGCTTCTTTCGCTTTTCCCCAATGCTCTCTTATCTAAAACCCTAAGCCAGTCAAACTGATGTTAACGAATTAAAAGGCCATGTGTCTCCCCATTTCTGATGTCTTTCCTCATGTTGGTCCTCCTGTACTCCGTGTTTCTGCCTTTCCAATTATTTTAGTCCTATGATTCCTTGAAGACAGTCCTCTGGCATTAAAGCAGCAAGCCTTTCCAATTACATAAAAGAGAAAGATTTCCCCCCCCCCCCCCCCCAGTCAGGGCCTCTCTAATGCACCAGATGTGGAGCAAGCACAGAGGAGCTGTCTTGACTTCTGCTCTAACTCATCTCCATTATCCTGGCTTTGGACACATGGGACTTAATTGCCATCCTGGAGAATTGCATTCCTGCCTCAAATCAGAGACCCCCAGGCCTCAGAGGTTT